TAAGTTGCTGGTATCTGGAAGTCATGCGGTCAGAATCCGGCAGCGGTCTGAGAAAGGCGCATCAATAACGAGACGCAGAATTTTGAAACAACGCTGTTCAGCAGTGTCAAAGCCTGCTGAATGTGAGGGGACTGCGACGATTTACCTCGGAAATTATGACATTACCTGGTCTTCTTCTTTCTGTCGGGACATGAAGCTGTTATCTTTGGTTGGATAACAGATGTTATATTGGGTTCCGTAGTGGCTTTGGCAGCACAAAATGCACCAATTTTGGCAACGAGCGGGTCTACCGTGTACAATGCTTCGCAAGTGGGAGGCAAGAAGTTATGCGTATGTTGTAGGTCCTCTAACCATAATCGATGCAGCGCGTGTTCCTGCTTAAGCATTTTATTCAAAAGCAATTTAAGAAGCAGTCCTACTTGTGAGAATGCTAAACCCTGTATCGCTGCACTTACGCTAACCGTGAATATTCGTTCTGAATTGGAGTTTAATCTTGAGCGACGAGTTCGAGACACTTAATCGTCCGGTTCCAGCGGAACAATTAGCACGATTCCCTGATATGTCAGTAATGCTACTGTTTTCATAAACGGAAAAGAATCATCAGTGCAAGATGTAGTGCTCATAACCGAAGGGCAGAAAAGTGCTAATTCAAAGAGTAAGGGTCCCTTGGGGCTAGATGACCACGTCCCAGTTGTTTGTAAATATAAGTGTTCGGTGGAATATGCAAATGCACACACTGACATTTTCCCCACAATCTCAGTTTATGTGACACTAGTAGAACTCGTTGGCGGACAAAAACGTTAGTTTTCGTATGACTCTTCCAATGATAATGTTTAGAGCGATTTCGTTGACAACTTCAGTGACCTCATCATATCCGCGCCGGAAACGGTACGTTATCGTTCTGCAAATGCATCATCATTTGTTTGAAGCATAACTCTAAAGGTTATGAAGATAAGATACGCAGCTTTGCAACCTTACCGATGTGACCCTAGCCCTTACCACAGCTATTCATCTTGTTCGTACTCGACTTCGTAATTGACCTCCTTTCGAACGAACTGTCGATTTGGAGGGTAATCTAACGATTGGACGACAACCTACCATTGAATGGTCATTCCGACAAGAATTAAAAGTGATAGGGTTTGACTGTGCGTGAGTCTAACCGCGTCACCTGCTAAATAATGAGCATACGCCACAAATGCATCAATGCATATATACTGAGAGAAAACGTTCTGGAATACAGTCCTCACGGTAGTAATCTTGTGGTGTATGTGCAGAACGATCTCGGATAGACAATACAGATAGAGAAGACAGTGGGAAATCTAGTCAACACTTGGCCTACTGCAGAGGATGTTTGGACTTATTGATCAAACTTTCTTTTCACAAAAGCTCAACGCTTACGTGAGACCACACGTGGAATACGCCTTCCAGGTGTTGCATGCCTGGCGAAAACTTGACCTTACTACTCGTAAGGGTTCACAAAGTAGGGCGACGAAAAATGTTGAGATGTTAAGGTTGTAACCGTTCAAAGACAGCTAACAATCACCCGGTGATTCTCCTCCCGATGCTCTCAAAGGTGACGGAACTGATTATAGCTTAGGCTGTAATGGGCTGCATTGAAAGATCTAATATCGTGGCACCGGTGTAACATGGATTCTGTCAGCATCGGTCATGTACTACCATCCTAATATTTGCCCGTGGTATTTGGACCGTGACAGTGGGACCGGCGTTGATGTCATCTACCTAGAATTTTCCAAAGCATTCGACCGCATAGATCACTGCATCCATCTCCAAAAGCTGCAAGCATACGGAGTTTGAGACCCTATTCTTGGATGGATAGGACACTTCCTCTTTCAGCGGCACCTCCAGGTTCGAGTTCGGGGTTCATTTTCTGATCCAATTGGTGTAGACTGAGGTGTTCCACTAGGGTCGGTGTTGGGCCCGAGGTTAAACTTGTTGCTCATTTACGACCTTGTGAGTGTCATCAAAACGAATTTCCTGTTTTGTGTCAATGACATTAAGATATGGAAGGCAATCTACTTTCAAAAGATCACGATATGCTGGAGCGAGACTTAGACCACGCTTTTGAATGGTCAAAGTTTAATTAAATTCCGTTTAAACGGAGAAATGCCAAGCCGTACATGTCCGACACTATCCCACGTACACACATAAGCTTGGAGAATACATTTTCAAAACCGCCTCACAAAAGTGAGACCTAGCGATGGTGATGCAAGACGACCTCGGTTGTTCGGCGCAGTTCTTGAAGGCTTCCAGGATCGCGAACCAACATGTTGGTCTGTAACGGATGGGGTTCGGTTTGTTCGATGCATCCATTTTCTACCAAATGCTCAATGCGTACAGGAGTTCTAATGTAGAGTACGCGATCCAGACTTGGCAATCCTGTTTAAAGCGCGATCATGTTGCATTGGAGATTGCAATGCGAGGGGCAACAAAAAATGTGTCGGGGTAGTACCACTTGCAATACCATTGGCGACTGAAATCCCTGGAAGTGTACAGCGGAATTTATCGTCATCTACGGTGTGACCTCATTCAGTCACTCCAGATTTTGAAAAATCCCGGTCACGCTTGCCGCCACCTCCTAAAACTTAGCTGCAACGTAGAATTGTGAGTTCATAACTTGAAACTTGGCACCCAATACAGTCGGCTGGAATGCCGCCGGAATTATTCATCGTTTCGAGTTTGTCAATTTTGGAACGCTCTTTCGAGTTTTGTCATTTCCGCGCTAACGCTGCCTATTTCCAAAACCGACTCGACGATGCTTTATGCTTTCTGCATTATTTGACCTGATTTCTATTCATTGATTGACAACAAGACGTAGACAAACATTGTGCTCAGTAACCCCAAAAAATGATCGCTCCCGCTTATGGGGTCGTGTACCGTTTGTAATATATATATGTGTACATATACAATATATGTACAATATACATATATAATATATTAACATGGATAATACTGTGAGTCCACAGATGTCTTTTTCACTTTTGTACAACTTGTTTGAACTAAGTTTTTCCCATAAACCATCCAACGGGACTAGACAAGCCTTGGTCTTTTTATCAATATTATACCATTGTTCCATTGCTCTATCAACAATATTTGTAATTGAAAAATGAAGATAAGTTACGGGCTTATCAAACGGATCGTAAACTGATCTACCTGTGTATGCACGAAATAATGTCTCAATAAGATTGGTTTGTCAACTAGTGCTTGGTTTGAGACCCTGCCACATCAGAATAAGAAAATGGATGAAATAAGCATCATCAGCTTTAATATTAGGGCTGAATAGCTTGTGCAGAATCAGTGAATTACACAGTCTCCTCGATTATATAAGAACTTGGAAGGACTTTGGCCATAACACATTTGCTCAGGGTGGAGTTCCTGGGACAACTAGTGAACAATTTGTTGGCACAGAAATACGACTGGAGACGCGAATATATGTGTCGTTGGGGAAAACACAATAAAACCCGAAGTAGTCTGACCAAGGAAGATATTGTCTGAGGCAAGCACTTGTCACCAACATGGCAAAAAGGATAGATCCGAAAAGTATACGGAACGGGATTGGAGGTATTCTGACGATCTTCCATAGTTTTTGTTTTTTGGTCGACTGGCTTGATAGGGCGGTGGTTGACTCCATATCTGCGTGTACATGTGCGGGATAGCATGTGTCGAGATGAACAACTGGTCCAATATGTTTACGGCCTCATCGTTGCAGATAAATAAATAAATAAGTATATATATATATATGTATATATAACTAAGCGTTACGGACGCATGACATCCAGTGACGTGCAAATGGTCCGGGGATTAATGATTGTGTGATGCTGCATTTCTCAGCCAAGACAAGTCAAGAATTCGCTTTTACGCACCCATGAAGGGTGCATTTTCAGCCAATCTCCTAATGGCACTGTGAGGTACGTCCGTTCGATTCCCAGTCCAGTGATACATTAATGGTAAGCTGAGCTTTGCATCAAACTGGAAACGTTCGATAGCTCTTTAGAAATAAAATGTAAATGTTTAACGAAGCTTCATATGTTTCATTTCTGTTCAGTTTATAATCCCTGCTCCGATGCTTTCCTTCTTTTTTGCCTGCCTTAATGCTCACTGACGATACCGGGACAACGCGTAGTGTGCAATCTATTTGCAAAGTAACAAAACACTAAGCCTGTGACCCAGTTCAAAAAGTTAGACTGGCAAACATTAACTTGCAGCATACCAACGAATTTTGGTTCGATCCATAAGATAAGCGACCTGCGATTACATTGCCTGTGCCTATATTGCTTTGTGTGAGGTGCAGTTGGAGAGGAAGTTGTGGATTTAACACACTGCTCAGTATTCAAAGCCTGACAAATAATGTTGAATCTTATCTGCTATGCTACTTGTTACAACTGAGAAGAAATAGTCATCACAAAGTAGATGTTGGTGGTCTAAATTTAAGGGCTTGGAATAGACACCTTGTGTTTCGGATCGCAATATGCAATCTCCGTTGAGGCCTTAATATCCTTCGAGTTAGATCTCCTACATTCCGATCCCTATAACCGTGTCAGTTCTGGAGGGTTAATCGTATTGCTCCTTCCAACACTAACTGTGACCAGAATCTCAGATTAGACTGCGATTAATATTTGAATGAATCGGGCTAAATGTTGCCACTGTGGCAGAATTCGAGACAGAACAGCGTCAGGGAATTCACTGGTTTCTTCTTTTATGAAAGTACCTGTACTGCATAGACCGAATGCAGCCCTGGAGATTAGCATCCTAAAAGCTAGAATACATTGTTTCATCGCTGCAAGATATTATTTAGAGGTGACTGGTTTGCAGATTCTTCTAAGAGCGTACACCGAGTTGGTTTGACATAGTTGGAGGTTCTCCACTGCTGAATGTTTACTAAAGTCTAAGCACAATAGTAATTCTGAAGATAAGTCATTTGCAATATCGCAAGCTAACTTTAATTATGAAGATAATGATGCTTATCTCACCAAGAGTTTAGGCTAAAGAAGCAACAACTCACTCATATTATAGTGGGCCATCGTGGAGTTAGCAGAACCGTTGCCGTCTAGTGCATTTCCACCCGGAACTGCCACGCGAACGTCTTTCGTTCTTTCACGTGCCTAAGCGAAGCAGCAAATAAACATTACTACACTAACGTCAAGTGCCAGAGGTTTGTTCGGAGAGTATTATGAAAAGAGTGTTTACTTTTGCTTTGTAACAGTCCATCGTGCAAAGTTAAATATGGTGATGGTTTGAAAGGTTTTCTGAAAACGACTGAGTTCAAATACTGCCGAAACATTTGTGATGGTCATGTTGTTGTGAGATGTACTAGGTGAAAATGTTTTAAACGCTGCTCCACAACGACATCGTTTGACATCTGGTAGATGCACCGTGCGTAAACAGTAGGATGTTTCAATCACTGGTTGTTATTTGGGGTTTTAAACCTACTATTAATTAGATTTCGCTACCACAAATATATGCCTTAACGAAAAATGAAACGTTAACCCCAAAATATCTTGGAAATAACTTACCAGCTCTACTTGTTTCTTCCAATTGATGCAGCAGCAGACAACACCGTAAATGATAGCTTGGGACACAAATCCCACGGCTACACCAATCCAAAATCCTGTGGGCAAAAAGCGCGGCGGATGATGTCACTTTGGTCGCAAATGTTTGGATTTAGAAGTTTAAAAAGCGGGTAAAATGAACCGGTGGAATAATACCACTAAAATTCAATGTTCGTTAGGTCTCGTGGGATGGTTTGTGAATTAGATAAGCTCAATAACTCAGTTACACTAAAGCGAACAACGCATCTGTGACCTCACAAAGTTAACACCCATATATAATCGTTTGCTCGATTTCATGGGGTTCATGAGCAAAATGTTTGTCTGCATCATATCATCACTATGAGCAGAATTCAACTAAAGTAATAACATTGACGAAAAGCTCCGTCGAGGCCTTTTGTAAAAATAGATAGCGTAAGTGCAGAACTGACGAAATTTAAAAAAAGCATTTCACGGTTAATAAGTTTAAAAAGAAAATAATATTTTCGGCGGCTTTCTAGCTAACTGTATTGTGTGGCGAGTTTCAGATACTTAACCCTCAATTTTGGTGTCGCGTCTAAGTTTCAGTTGGTCACGTCAAACCTGATCCTGGTTAGAAGATATCTGGTATGCCGGAACGCGATTGCCATATAGACCTCGGTAAATTTCGCTTACAAATATAGGGCTTTCAGTGGCAGATGGCATAGCAGGCTGTACAAACCCTACACATTTGTGTCGTCCGCTTTGTGGCCTCCGTTGCAACCAGACGGCATTTTAGGTGGGTTTTCATGCCGGAAGCGCGTACTCATTAGCGTGTACTGATGATGATGATGGCGACTCATTATGGGGTACCATATATGCTTTAAGGGATGAAGAAGGGATTGAAATGCCAAAACGTATTCCGTAAAATAGTAACATGTAGGTTCGTGGATTTACACTACTTCAAATACTGCTCCGAACAACCGAGGTTTTCTTGCGTCAGCACCCTAACGTCGTGCTTCGCGAAGATGCTCTTCAAACTCTGGTCCTCATGCTTTTATGCGTTAATGGACTAATGGCATACATGTGTTGTTTTAAGTTTAACCGCGTTGATGGTGATAACGTTTGCATTTGACCATTTAAAATTACGGTATAATTCTCGCTGCGGCTGCTCGTGCTCTTCCTGACCGCCGATCATACGCCATATCTTTATATTCCCAGGCAAAATACTGAAAATTTGACTTGTTGACACGCGCTAGCTTTTCACGAACTGCAAGAAAATACGTATCCCGACCGTTAATCTTATTGGTACGCCGCATTCCACATCAATACGATCAGCAAATCGCCCCGAGTCTGAACCTACAACCACTGCTGAAGAAAGAAATATCTGAGTCATACACAGAGATGGTTACCGATATTCCAAGTGGCATTTGGTGTATTTGCTTGGTAGTTGGATTGCGACTTGCAATCTCTGTTCAGACCTCGGTCCTCTTTGAAGTAGACCTCGGTCATTACCATCAGAAGGACCGTATCCGAATTAATGACTCGGTGTTCCTCCTCCCAACCCTGTTGGCTGAACCTCGCTCAACTTACGTCGTGTCGGGCCCCAATACGCTGCGTATTTTCAACCCAATTTCATTTACCTAGTCCAACCTTCCCTTGAAAATCTTTCTAACCAGCCTTAGTCCTCGTGATTCGCATGAATGCACTTGTCAACGGACGGGGTGGAGGAACACACATGGGCGTCGCACACAGAAGGTGCCACATATTACAAACCGGAATGTCCTAGAGGCCAACGGTATGTGAGCGATGTGACTGGCCGGGCTAAGCTGAGTTCAAATGTTGTAACCGCAATAATGATGTTGATCGAATTAACGTTCCAGGTTGCAGTATTGTAGTTAAATCTCCCCACGCTGAACCGGTCCAGAGTAACACTCAGTCAACCTGTTCACCGCTGGCAGGGTTAAACTACGGTCAAAGGTTGCAACCGAAATAATGACAAAACTGCACACGTCGCTAATGCAGACACGGTGTCCTGTGTGCAGTGTAGACAATTGTCGGTACTCGTGTAAATGCAACAACATATTCACAGTGAACCCAAGGATCAAGGTTGCGAACTAGGGAATACACCACATAGTGAATGTGAACGGCAGTAGTAGTATTTACGTATCCTTGTGCGTCGAAGATATCTTCAAAGTGGGTAGTTTATAGCGTTCCGATGTTCGCACGGCTGCAGTTTGAAAAGCGCAATTGTGAGAAATGTGGGGTTTCGCAAGCTACATTTCCTGAGCTGAGGTAGATGGTAGTACTGGCTTTAAAATTTCGCTTGTCTCTATGTGATGTACTCTCAGTACCACGTTTAACAACGCAGAATCAATTCGACAAGCGCTATAGGAGTTGAAGTAACGGATTCTTGCGCACCCAAGTCCTGTTGAGAGATATATGTGCCGTACATAATCCGGCTGCTTGGCATTATTTCGCAATTGCACCACAGGCAATGACATTTGTCACAAATCGCACCAGAATTCAAGCGATGATCAGTTATCGTGACACTTGATCATCCTGTCCACGGGATTGGCTCAGTGTAACACTTAGTCAACGGGATAGTCAATTTTTTCGACGGACGGGGGTTTCAGACACTGGGTGAGCACCGAGAAGACATCCAAGATGACAAAGCAGGCCAGGAACATAGATTCGAACCAGTGGCCTTAATATTGCAAGCCAGGCGTGCAGACCACTCGGCAAACAGGCTTCCCAGTCTCTTTCCAGGTTAGCAAGCAGTTTCGCCCCGAAATCTTTGCGAGTCTCCTTGTGTTCGATATCAGCCGAAACATGTTGGCAAGCATCCATAAGTTCCTGAGACTGCGTAGTGACCCAATGTCCAGGTTGGCGATTTCATTTGCCACATTGACATACCCGCTGCTAACAAAGTCTGCCGGATTTTCGACCAGTGATGTTCAGTTGCGTTCGATGAGCGCCTACTCAGCTCGGATGCCAGCGTCTTCAAGTAGTGCACGACAAGTTGCCTGTAAACTTCTGAACACGAGTATTTTAACAATTCAAATAGCTGCATTCACGACAGCACTCTAAAATTAAATCTGTGGTTATTGTGATGTGAAACAAAATATTGAATGGCAATTTCAATTGTGAGCTTTACAACTGCGAGCGTGGCAGCAGTTGTACGTCAGCCACGGACAGCAAAACTAGTCCCTATGCCACTGTATCTACGCCAACTACACCCCCATTTGTTTACGCACGCTATTGGGTCAAACGAGGGATCATCCCAAACGATCAAGACAGTATCCAAGTCGTACTGGATAGCTATTCGTGCCTCTTTGGCACGCAAATCAAATTGGGCTTACTGTAGGAATGGTTGCTTTTAAATCTAAAGTACAGCATCCGAACCGGCTGATGTGGGTTCCGAACTTGACAGACCAACTTCCAAACGGGTAACGAATTAACGCGCCAATGCACTGAAATACAGCGGACAAACATGGCACAGAGACGGTTTCCATTGAACACGCGATACATTCGTTCAGCTACAATGACCACATCTTGTCTAGCAATGGACGTGTTTGCGAACTCGCATCTAGCAGTTCCTCTCATTCTTGAAAACACCTGACATGACGTGCGCAGTAATTTACTATTCACTACTATTCAACTATCTACACTGATATCCCATACTGTGATACATCTGACGGTTGCTTCACCCGGCAAGCTCACTTGGTCCTACAAAGCGCTTTCCAAACATCCTAGTTTTCCGAACAAACAAACTTTATCTACATTATCTCAGGCTATGAAAGAGTACGGCACAGCGAATACCGGCACGAGAAGCACCATAAGTTGAATATATCGCTCGGACATGACTCACTGGAAGCCGGTCCCTTGTTACTCCCTTGCGGTAGACATCAGATATCGCTTCAACCCCCGTACGAACACACAAACTTACGTACGTGCATACATATTTTGCGAACAATGTGAACACTCACACGTCCGTACGCGCTGCCAGTGACGTGCTATACAACCAGATACGTAAAAGATAGGCCAGCAACGTGATCAAAACATGTCATCTTTTCTAGAAAATTAGTAAAATGTACACGCATATATCGAATAGCATTACGACATCCCACAACACTGATATCCTCGGTGGCTGCTTTGGCAATTCGTTCAAGGAATTGCAGCCTCCATTCCATCTGCGTCTTGAGGTTCTGGGGATCCCCGGCTAGAAGTTCCTCATAGTACACTCTCATCTCATTCTTCACGCTGGCCTTCACCCCCTGCCAAACATTTTCGATCGGATTGAGGAACGGAGAGTATGGGCTTAACCTTAGTATGCTTTTACTCATCGTATCCATCTACTGACGACAGTTCTTCCAGCCTGTGTGACATGGTGCGTTATCACACACCACGACAACCTGCCGGAGCTTCATCTCCCGTTTCAGTTTGTCTAAATAGCTTAGCAGCCATTCGAGAGATAGGGGACCTGTGAATGAGCCTCTCCGAGTGGTCATCGACACTTTTCCTTCCATCTTGAGTGCACCGATTAAATGCAAACTGTGGCCTCTACTGTTGGCAACTTTGCAACAGGCCCTCATTCCTCTGGGCGCCCGACCACGAGTACGTTTGCAGTAAAGGTTGAAGTTCGCTTCGTCAATTTAAATGAAGAACTTGCCATCGCCCTCAAGTTGGAGAAACTGCTGAACGAATTCCCTGCGCATCCATTTGGTTCGTTCATTGTTCATTCCCTCGGGAACTTGATAGACGTTCTTCATATTTATCTATCGACCATCTGGATGCCGTGCGATTGTTGACTTCGAAATGTCCTTGTCCGTTTCTGCTCCTACTCGTACTCGCATTTTCCGTAGCGTGAGAGTTGATTCCCTTGCGACCCAATCCAGGATGTCATCTACGTCTTCCTCCGAAAAAATCCGTTTACGTCCATGTGCCTGCGTAGTACTCGGCTCCTGATCAAGAGAACGACAAATCTAGGAGTAGGCTGTTTGATATTTGACGTTGTTCACAGTTGCCACAAGCTGTCTGTCATCACCGTTGACGAAAGCGCCCAAAACTCGGTCACGAATGTCTGATGAGATATTCTGTCGAA